TGTTTTTCCCTTGAGTTGGAATTGTTTATCTCCTTTTATTGATTGGCACTTGCCATTCTAGACCTCCTCCATATCAAGTTGAGAGGACTTAACAAAGGCTTAGACTAATCCAAATCGAGCATTGTAGAACCCTTTTGGGCAGCAGGCTCTACCACCGAGACCACCGGTGAAACACAAAACACACTCTTTTACCTTTGATCCACGCAGTTAGTGATTGGTGGGAATAATTATTATTTCCATCATGTTGCTCACGTTCATGCGTGCATGCGTACAATGCTTTCTGATTGGTCATATATCTATCTATCGGTTTCGACAGCCGACTGGCAGTATCTCGACTCAAGCACTAATGAATGAGAACTCAAGCATAAAAAATTTCACTTCTCAACACTGGTCTAGCAAGAAAAGGGCATCTCAATTGAATCGAGTTTAAATGAAGCAGGGCAGCAGCAGGCATACGTATCAAGTCTTTTCCAAGAAACCGTCACAGAAGACAAGGTCTTCTCTATTTCATGACAAGTGAAAAAACTTACGAGCATACTAAAAGCACAAAGCACACGCAAAACTTTAGGGGAATTTTGTGGGTCAGGAGATGAAAGAAACTTATCAATAAAGAAATCAAGATAACTGAAGTCGAATTTTAAGAATATTACCTCAACATTCTTTAACTCAAACTCTGGACTATGAGCCAGGCACGAGCTTCCAAATTGTCGCAAGGTCCACTAGTTCCGTTCAACAACCTATCATCGCATTCAAGAGAAGAGATTCCATGAGTAGTGTGCAAACTAAACAAATTTAGAGAAACAGAGAAGCAATAACAAAAAGCTTACAGATCTCCATCCAAGCATAAAGCAAAATTACCACCCCCACCAAGTGCAAGCAAGTCATTCAAACACATGCAGTAGTACCGGTTGGCACCTACATATATTAACATATAGAATCAGAATATTCGCATTACAAAAAAAAAAATTGAAAGGAAGGCGACCAAAAAGAAGTTGACATTTAGTGCCATTCCTGTTCCATATTAGGCTTTACAAATTATTTTCAGTAAAAGTCATAAATGCATATCCTGGATCTCATGAAACTAACATTGGAAGTTGATAGATATTCAGTAAAAGTTTCATCTTAGTCAAACAGAGATCAACCGCTGATATCTTCCTAAATAATAACATCTACCGATAAAGAACATGAACCTACAGACAAATAAATGAGAACACTTACCAGTTGGCCGAAACAACCTTGGTTCACCATATAATGTAGTAAAAACAAAAGATTGGTTTGTCCCCTATCACAGGAGAAAACAAAATCATTTTTCAATATATAGAAGCGCACCCCAATAAAATTACAAGCCAGAATCATCAAGAAAACAGGTTTGCATACTTGATACTTTCGTTTTGCTGTAGGTTTTAAAGGACAGTCCAGCAACCCACCAAACACGGCACCTTGCTTATCTCAACAATCTAACAGTTATGCCAAATAATTAACCCCTTTCATCACTTGATTTACTGCTAGTAAATTCCAGATAAACACCACAATCAGAGACATGTATTGAATTCTGAAAATTTGACATACTAGCAATCCGGGACCAGGAAGTTCAGCACTCTTCTTGCGAATTAGTGTACGAAGTGATATTCCATGTTTCAAAGTACTGCCCTTCATTTGAAAGAACCAATAGTTAATATTTTAATGCAATAGAACAATAACGTTTGATGCACATGCTAAGAACTAGAGAGCAAAGTTACCTATAAAGTAAGACCCATTGACACCCTTTAACTATATTGGGTAGACATGACTCAAAAAATTCATACAACTCAGTTGAAATAAAAATAGAGTCATCAGTCAGATTGACCCGGGGCTTCTTCGATGAATTAGGAGTTTGTGCATTTGCTTCTTCAAAAACTTCCGAACTGCAACTAGTCCTCCTGGAGGCCTGATCATCATCTTTAATCTTATCTTTCAAAAAGTTCATGCTTTATACACTGGACTACAGTCAACATATTCATCCAATGAATCATCTTGAGGCTCAAGATTATTATATGTAACTTGAACTGGTTTAAGATCATATTGCTGGTTACTTGTCTTGGACCCACTGAAACTGACAGAAGGAATAGCGTAGGAAAATATGAAGACCAAGATCTACCCTCTTTAGAGTAGGAGCTGCCCTACATAAATGAAAACCTCATGTCATATTTTACAGAAAATATATATATATATAATATATATATTTACACACACACACACATAAAGACTAATAAATGAAAGAATGGTACATGACTCATATGATGATGCAGAACTGATAAGCAAAATTCATATGACAATAGAGAACCCATATATGATTTTTCAAATTTATTCATGCAGTGTGGCGGAAAATGAGCTCTAATTAGATTCCCCTTCCCCCTCATTGACTATGAGGTTAAAGTAAAATGTGAGCGCAGAAATTAGAGATATAAAAAGGGAGAAAGAAAAAGGATAAGAACTTGGTAACGCACATACTATTACCTTTATTGCAAATAAATTCAACCTAGGGAGAGGAAAACTCAAGTAACGCATAATAACCACCACAACAAATCTCCGGATAAGATAAGACGGAAGCCATGCCTATATAACCTAAGACCAGTAAGATTGCATATCCTCAGGTTATGAGAGTTTCAAAGAGAAGACACAGGGCCAAAATTTCATCCTGATCTAAAATTCTGCAAAGTCAAAATAAATCTTTTTTTTTTAAATACGAGGCCACGATGAAACTGTGCAGGGAAAAAATCAATTAATGTCAAAGCAAATAATACTTTTGCACTCTAAGGGTGAGTCGACAAAAATTGTGGAGTCCAAATTGTTGTTTGAAACATGATGAGCCAACTAAATCCGCATATCTATTTGCTTATCTAAAAATATGATCGAAAGTTATAATCTAGTCTCTCATAACCAAGTCCCTGATCTTATTGATAGTATTTGAGAGAGAGTGGTGCTGAGAGAATTCCCACTGAACCAATGTGAGGGCTTTGGTAGAATCTAAGTAAACATTGACATTAGCAAAATAGCTATTCCAGCAAAGTTTAGGGCCTTCTAGGATACCCATAAGTTCAGCAGCAGTGCTAGGATGATAAACAAGGTATCTGGAAACTTGAAACCTTGTAATATAAAAACCCAACACCAGTGCAAGGAAGACAACACGTGACTTCAGTCAATTTGGATTTTGCACGTAGAGTCAAGGAGAATTTAAGGCCAACTCGGGTAACTCCACAAGGCAATAGACAGTAGATGAATTCTATTTCGAATGAGTCTTCAATTTATTATATGAGGAGTATCTTTGATCAGGTCAATTTTTAATGACATAATATTTGAACTAAAGAGTAAGAGGCCAATAAATCAAACTCGTTAGGGTCCTGAATCAAGATGAAGGTGCTTTTCCTCTAGTCATAAATAGTTCTCACCTAAAAAGTCAAGATGAAAACGACAAGAAACGAAAAACTATTGGTGAAATGAAACAAAAAAATACAGGGTTCACCACATATAACAAAGCTGTAATCGTGACCTGATTCTATTTTCTATTCATCACAACAAAATAAAATATGTTCATCGCTGAGAAAATTAGTTTATTCTCTCTCATATATATTTTTCCACAAACCAATAAAATGCTTATCCAAAATTTGGCGGAAGGCCTGGAAAAGGGATACTAAGCAATAGCAAATGCAAAATGCAAGACACGGAAAAAAAAAAAAAAAAAACCCGAGAGGAATATGTAGACTATAACTAGGATTAACCTTTCTCAGCTTAAGAAACAAACAATTCAACCACAGTCCCCCACTTAGTGCGAATTACAATCGACATTAATATGTACCACTTATTTACTGAAATCAAGTCACACGGTTGCTGTCTCTTTTATGCATGAAATCCGTGAAATTTAATCCAGACATTCAACCACAGATTCAGGTTTTGGAGAGCCCGGATCTAACTACCGGACAGAGGTGATTGAAGATAGACTTCAATTGTTTAAAACAGGAACAAACAAGAGAATCCAATGCAGATCAGAGAGACAAGATGAAACCCTTTCATGTCATTCGAGGGGGGAAAAAGAAGAAGAAGAAGAAGAAGAAGAAGAAGCAATACCTGATGAGGGGTAGACTGCGGAGAATCGGCGAAGAGGCGAGAGAGCTTGTCTGTGACCTTCTCTTTCAAAGTTTGCATCTTGAAGGAGCAGAACTCAGCTATCCCATTAATGATTATGGGTTGAAAGTTAAGAAATATTGGAAGAATAAAAGGCTTGGAATTGGAAGAAAAAGTACCGGTGACAAGGGGGAAGGAAAGCGGAGTGGAAACGTTGGAGACAGCTAACAACGAAAATTGGGAAAAGGAAGATTTGATCAAAGGCTAGATTGGCCGGTGGGACACAGATTTCTCAATGTCATTTCTTCATGAACTGGAATAAAGTTTTGTCGGGTACAGTCGTGTCATCTTATATATCATCTTGTTTCGGGGTTGAAGTTTCTTTCTTTTTTCTTTTTTTTTTGGGCCATTTTGGGTTAGGTTATTTTTTATTTGGACAGAGATTTTGGGGTTAGGTTATATATCATGTTTTTCCAACAAAAATATTATATGATGTTTTATATTTGAGCAATTTAAATATGAGTAAGATTTTTGTTTTGGCCAACTATCACATCTTAAAGGAATGATGCAGTCTTCTTGAAAAGGAATGATGTAGAACTATAGGGACACAGGATACTCACTAGAATAGAAAGAGAGAAGGCACCCAAATCGTCTAATAACTGGCATATAATTTATTCAATTTTCTCGTCTCAAGTATATAGATATATGAGTGAATGAGTGTCATGAATCATAAACTATTATTTAAATAATATTATAAATTTTAAACTTTAAAAATAAATATTTTAAACTTTAAACTATTATTTGAATAGTAAATTACTTAGATTTAGTCAAAGACTAGTGTGACGTTAATTTTTTCTCGACAAGTGACATGCCAGCTAGACAGCTAGACTACATAATGATCAATAGTGTATGGATAAACGGTAAGGATAATTTGATCAAAAATTTTGAATTGAGATGAGTTTTTACTCGTTTTAAGAGTCTAAAATCTATAATATTATTTAAGTAATAATTTAGAATTTAAAATGCTCGCTAACCTTAAATATATTAATCATATATTCTCGGTCCATAAAAATATTTACATGCCTTATTATTAACCCTAGTATTAGACACTCTCTTTTATTTTAAATATAAAACATGATTAACTAATTCATAGATATTAAAAAGAATTAGTTAAATTTTATTATTATTTGTATTAGTATTGCATAAAAATGTATTTTTTAAAAAAATTTCTCTCGAGGGTATTAAACTTGGAATATATTTATATTAGGAAGGTCCCTCCTTTTCGTAGAAATTAGCTCCTTTCAGTAGAAATTAGTGACGTAATTACTCTACGATACAATGGAGATATTGATATGGAGAAAATTGATAGACGAAGCTACTGATGTTGAGCTGGAAACTTTGAACCAATTTCAGTGAATATACGTATTGCGTATAATTACATGGGAAATAAATCGCACTATCGACTAAATAGCAAGGACTTGTTTGAATGTAAAAATAATGTTGGATTCAAAATCATAGTTCTAAACAAATCCTATCTAAACACCTCCAATTTTTTCAAGTTTTACTTGCCTTTTGTCATTTGACATGAGCTATTTTTTCTTTATTTAATAATCAATTACTGTTTGAGCATTTTTTATTTTTTTGCATCTTTGTAATTGATTCTGAAAAATTATTCAAACATATTTAATATTTAATTGTCAAAAATCAAAATCAATATTAAAAAAAATTATTCAAACTCGCCCTAAATAGTAGGCTTTCCAATTATAATTTTATAATTTATATTTCGCTCGGTTTAGTAGAATGTCAAACTATAAGACCAACGTTTAAAGTCACAGTCATGGGTTTGAGTTCTCTAAGACCAATCTTCCATGAAAAGCGGAGCGAGTAAAGAAAAAAGAAAAGCATTCTTGTTAACCAGACTAATGTTAGCATCTTATTGCTAACTAGACAAATAACTAATAGTATTTGATTGATTGATTAACAGTGACATGATTGTTATGAACCGTGTTTGACCCATTGAGAGTTTGAAGAAAAATGTTGGGTGAACAAAGATTTAAATTTGAACCAAGTCACCCATTTAAATAGATAAAAGTTGATAGATTTAAATAAAGTTTAAATTTCAATTCATATTTTATTGTAACTTTAAATTATAATTATTTAAAGTTAGCAATAAGATTATTACTCTCAATCCATACATAAATTTAATTATATAAATTTTAAGCGCCATATTTAAAGTTTTAGAATTAAACTTAACTCTATTAATCCAAACACTGTCTAATAATAATATGAAGTTGTGTGCATTCATTCAGTGATTCAGGCAAGACAAGTTAATAATAATGTATCTCCTTATCGCATCCTGTTCATATGATCTTCTGAATAGATACTCAATACAAGATCTTTTACAAAATTTAATAAAATAAAATATATTTGTGACTTTCATGTGATGGAGTAATCAAGTAATCGTTTGTGAGGGTGACTAATACAAGTTAGCTGTGTAACTGATGGTATTAATACTCGGTCCTGGTTAGAGTCCTCACCACGTGGCTCTGTATATGTTGTTGTTGTATACACCCTGTCATTAACGAAATACAGATCGTGTTCACCTGTTCCATGTTATTTTTCTCTCCTCTTCTCTGAAATCTTTTGCCATCGTTCTCTCTTTTTTCACAGTGAACAATGTCAATCAAAAGATAGCTTTCAAATATAGTAAAAAATTTCCGAAATGGAACTGTTCTAACTAATCTCAAAAGTAACTAACGGGACATCTTATGGAGGGAGCGTAAAATATGCAATGAGATGCGGTATCGATCAACAACTCAGCCAAGCAAGTGAAAAGCGAACACGCATGTACAAAAAATGAGGAGCATTGAAGGATGAGCATGCAGGGGAATAAAATACATGTCCTGCTGTGGTCTTGGCTGCCAATCAACTCTCACTCTCCAGGGAATGGAAGCTTGGGTGGGTTAACTTGTGAATAGGCCTCTCCATTGGTCCAAATTTCTAGCTAACTCAGTTTAGTGATCATTCAGATTAACTTGGGTAATCTGACGAGTTGTTGGGGTTAACTGAGTCTTTTTTTTTTTTTTGCCAAAACCCCAAAAAACTTTTTTGGGGGGTTTTAAATTTAAAAAAAAAACTAAAAAATAATTTAAAAAATAAATTTAATCTTTGAGTCTTAGCCTTTGAAGAATAGAGGGTCCTCTGAGTCATGAATGCCTGGTGGATGAAACTGTAGAGATGAAACTGTAGATGCTCTATCAATTCTCGATATGAATTATAAAGGTTTAAATCTACTATCAAGTTTCTAATATAAGTATATAACATTATAATTTTGTCAATTTTTTACACATTCATTAATATCAATTCTTGTTTGTTGTGGTTGATGAATATATGAATGGTTTGAAGCCCCTATCTTTGATTGATAATATTGTTAATGGTTATAGTTTTTCTCATTCGACTCTTAATATTTCAATGCTTAGAGATTTGAATGAAATTAATAATAATTTTGGTATTGGTGATTATTAATTTTAAAATTTTTAATTGTTGAAGGATTGTAATTATAAGGAAGAATATTTAAAATGTTATATTTTATTATTATTATACTTTTGAGTGAATATATTTCTATAATTATTATTGCATTTGTACTTTATATTTGAAATTAATATTGAATTTAATTAAATATTTTTATAATTAATATCTTTTGATTTAAATTATATTAATTTAATCATGATTGATTTACTTTTTAAATTGGCTCTCAATTTAATTTTGATTGGATCGCTAACCTATAACTTTGTTACTCTCCCTCTCCCTCTATATATATAATATAAAGTCATTATTTGTGGCGTGGCGTACAGTTAACTTGTACAGAAGAGCAAATTCCAGCACCATCATCTTCATTCATTTCACTGTATTGTTCTGTTTCATTTCATCCACCTAATCCGCTCAACAATACTTTATTCAGTCAATTAATTGATGAGTCCCATGCTGCCCCTAACAACATACTGTCAATATGCTATATTATACGTGCTCCTCATGGCTCATGGCCTCATGCTGTTTCGTATTACACTATATTATACGAAATATTAATTTTTAATATTACTTTGTACTAACTAGGATACAAAAAGAAGGGATGGCCTCATGGGAGACAGTCCCTTCTCAACCAGGTAATAACAAGCTGTCTTTTGCTACAATCTAGTTATCTCCTTTTGCTTCCTTCATCATGCGGGGTGTTCTTTTTTTTATTTTATTTTATTCACAAGTATTTTTTATTATAAATAATTTTATTTAAAACATAATTAAATATTAAATATAGATATCACTCTTAATAAAAATGTAAATATTAATCTGTCAAGTTGTGAAGGATTTATGTCTTGTATTATTTTCTTACGCTAACATGATTAAGCAATACAGCTGGACGGTCTCCCACGGTGGCTATAAAATTTTCAATTAACTGAGACGAGATTTCATGCAACGACTTTAATTAATGTCATTCTAAGTTCTAACCATATTGAAGATATGAGGGTCCGGGATGCTAAAAAGTGGCACGTCTTTCTTGTTTGCCCTAATTAATCCCTTCATCACATGCTTCGTAGAATTTTTAAATTATTATAGGATCAGGGATTCCGACCACTTAAATACGAGAGCACAAATGTGATTGCGGGGCTTTCATGGTCAGACGATGAAATTCAAATTCATGGACGAAGCATTTATAATCTACTACTCGAGTCAAACTACTACTTGTTTGTACAGCATTTATAATCTAATTAATCCCATGTCATGCCCTCCAAAAATCTTCTCCCCATGGCACCAAGGAATATTTTCGCCCCCTTCGTTTTCATTCTCTTCCAACTATTAAATTCAACTTCACAGTTTCCAAAAATTGCTACTTTCATCTTCTGTTTTTACATTTATATCCAGATCAATCGATTAGTGGTACATCCTCCCCAGAACTTCACGAGTACAGAGTAGAGTAGAGCAGACTCTCTCAGCTACAGAGCCGAGTGTTAGGCCATCCAAAGGAATGCGAATCCCAAGGACCACTCCAGAACACTGAGTCACCGCCTCTCCTCTCTCCTCTCACCTCTCACCTCTCACCTCTCTCTCGCTCTCTATCTCTCTCGCGCCCACACACACATACGGACGCACATACATACCCAAATCCTTTATTTTCTTGGGGGTGCATCCTCATTCGGCAAAAAGAAAGAGCAACATCAATTCTTTTTTCCTCTTTACCAGAGTCCCAGGGATCGCAAGACTCTCCGAACTTGCCATGATTTGATCCCTCCACACCATTTTTACCCAAATGGGTTTTCCTAGAAAAGGACTCTTTTCCCTTGTTTTCTTCCTGGGTTTCTTCCAATCCCAACTCCCACAGTCCTCTTCTTCTTCCGATTACACCACCTTGATCTACAAAGGCTGTTCGAAGGAAACTTTCACGGATCCAAATGGGGCATACTCTCAAGCCCTTTCTTCCTTATTTGGCTCCCTGGTCGCCCAATCCACCAGAACCAAGTTCTACAAAGCCACCTCTGGTTCCGGCCAAACCGCGTTAACCGGCCTCTTCCAATGCCGGGGAGATCTCACCAACTCCGACTGCTACAGCTGCGTTAGCAGACTCCCCGTGTTGGCCGACAAACTCTGCGGCAAGACCGTCGCCTCCAGAGTTCAACTTCTAGGGTGCTACATGCTCTACGAGGCTGCCGGGTTCGCTCAAATCTCGGGAATGCAAATGCTGTACAAGACTTGTGGGGCGACGAATGTTGCCGGAAGTGGGTTCGAAGAGCGGAGGGACGCGGCATTCTCGATGATGGAAAATGGGGTTGTGAGTGGCCATGGATTTTATACAACGAGCTATCAATCTGTGTACGTGTTGGGACAGTGCGAGGGAGATGTTGGGGATTCGGATTGTGGGGAGTGTGTGAAACAAGCTGTTCAGAGAGCCGGCGCTGAATGTGGGAGATCCATTTCAGGTCAAATCTTTTTGCACAAGTGCTTCATTAGTTATAACTATTATCCTAATGGGGTTCCTAGGAGATCCTCTCCCGCTGCTGCATCTTCATCTTCTTCATCGTCCTCATCTTCCCCAGGTAAGGTCACAGAGACACCAGAACCAGCATAGAGAAATGGGATCTTTTTTAATAAATAATAGAGTAAATCTAAAACCCCATTTTGACACTACGGAAATGATTAGTTTTGTTACAATCCCATAAAACATTTGTTTCTCGAGAAAGATTGTGATTGTGTAGTAACTGTTGCTAGAAGGAATGAAATTGGCACCATATCAAAGATTTGATTAGGACAGTGATAGGGGAATCTTTGAAGGAATGAAATAACTTTAGTCTTGTTTTTTATTTGTTAGATTGGAATAATCTATCTTCATCCTCGTCCCTTTCATGCCCAAAACTGCCTAAACTTTTATGTCTTTTAATCAGATTTGCTATGAAGATGTGAAAATGAAACATGGCTTTTTGGTGGGAATGACAGGGCAAAATACAGGGAAGACAGTAGCTATAATATTAGGTGGGGCGGCTGGCGTGGCATTTTTGGTCATATGCTTGCTATTTGCAAGAAGTCTGATTAAGAAACATGATGGTATGCGTTGAATGAAACTGAGAGGCCATTTTTCTGTTCATGGCATTAATTAATTATACCGTAGCTCATTTAAAATCCTATTGCTTTCATTCTGAAAACCACAATCTGTTTCTGTGCAGATTATTAAAAATTGAAGATGATGCTTCTCAGAAGGCTAAATTCTTTTTGCTGTGGATTCTTTCTGCATATTCAGTTTTGGGGGTGGAAGAGACGGTGATTTTGTGGTGGAGAAAGGATCATTCATGTTGAAAGGTTACTATTCATTATTAAATGTGGGGACGACTTGTAAGGCTTGATGGTTAGGTAAGATTCTGTTGGGAGGAGCAGTAAAATGAGAGCATGAAAGTGAGAACTTTGCTTTCTGTTTTATCATCTTTTTTCAAAGGGTGAAAAATACCTCAAAAGCAACGAACGTTTGTCATCCACGAAATGGGATAGAAAATTTTAGGTGACCATGTGGGCGATTCTATGTTTTCCCTGCTCTCTAGACTCTTGAGGCTGCATTTTTCTTCACCAACTTTATGCTTTTGAGAAAGTTGCTTGCATGTTGCAACTTGCTAATTGCTACTTGTTACTTGGTACTCTCTCTCCCTCTCAGTCACACGCTTTAGGTCTTTAAGATTCATTCATGTCTTGATTGGAGCAGAACGAGATGAGTCAATTTTTGAAGTTTTAGCAAGTCAAAATTAATTAACTAAACAAATGATGTTATCGAGGGGAGGAGAAAAAGTGGCACAGTAATTGGGGTTCCTTGTGATGTGTACTGATCTGAAAAAGTCTCTTGCAAACAAAGACATGGAGGGTCCTTTTTGGGAATTTGGATTCCTTGCAGAAAATTCATGTTATCCAATTGGACAGACTTCGAGATGTGGGTCCGTTCAATTACGCTCCCTTAGGTAGACTGAAAATATTTTGATGGAAACGGAATTAAAAAAAACAAAAGGAAAATGGATTGAATTTAAGAGTGCGCTGGGTGGGACGTTAAAAATGGGTGGAAATTTTTTTTAAACATATAAAATAGATTGATTGATTTTAAAATATGAAAGGACAATATTAACCATCCCCCCTTGGACACTGGTTTTCCTGTTCCGCCATTGTTGTCTGAAAATTGCTGAAACTGTACAACAAAAGCTAAATTGGTAAGACCACTTCATAGAAGCCAAGATCCATCGTACCCAAAGCCACATACCTACTCCTCTTCTTTGAAACTAGGACCCATCAAGCCCAGACCCACAACAATGTTTGCAGATCTGGAGGGTGCCAATGGTAAGGTCTTCATGGAGGAACGAAGATGATGGAGTGGATCTAGAAGTCGTCAGTGAAGAGGGACAGGGGCGATGGAGCAGATCTGGAAGCTGTCGGTGAAGATGGATTACTGGCAGGAGGAGGAGGAAAGGTGAAGGGGAGACAAAGAGGGAATGAAAATTATTTTTCATGGAAAATTTTTTCCATCAGTTCAGGCGAAAGAATTTATTTTCCAGTCTCTTCCCTGAATTTTGATTCCCAATCTTCGAAATTCCAGCCAGCCAAACGAAGGAATTTTTTTTTTCCCCTTTCTCAGAACAAAAAATCTAGTGAACCTAACTAGCCTTTAGAGTTTACTCTTCTTTCCTTCTTTCTTTGTGTTTTCCCTGTTACAGCCAGTTGTTTGAGGAAGTAATTTTTTTGAGCATGATAATTTATTGCGAGCTTTTTTTTTAAACAAAAATAAAAAAAATTCCTGTCAGCCAAAAGAACAGGGGGAAAAAAAAGAAACATTTGTTAAATGACCCATAATTGCTCTTTTTATATGATTAATTTAATCCATGGACGTCTCTTTATTTATCAAAGGAGTGAAGTTAAGGATTCAATAATGGATAGCAAGACGATGATGAGAAACTTTTTGGCTTGTCTATGAAGGATGAACCAGCTAAGGGGGTCAACTTCATCATCATTAGAAGGGGAAAGAGAAACAAGTCCTTGTTTGTTAGTTTTTCCATTTCTCTATTTGAAGTGATGGCATTTTCAAAACAAACAGGCAAGGATGAGTGGCGGATTCCATGGATGTTCACCTGGGATGGGGATGGAAAAATTAATCAAACATGATTTTAAATTTGAAATGACCAATTTGGTTTCAGACAGCGACGGCATTTGCCCCTCTAGATAAATAAAAAATTAGATATTATATCCTGAAAATTTCAGTTAACCGCCCTTAAAAATTTTCAATTGCCTCCGCTCTAAAAAAAAAAAGTACGCCTCCTTCAAATTTTCCAATACTCTCCAAAGTTATTCATGTATAACAAAAATAAAGATAAAGATAAATTGGCTTATTGATGGGAAAAAATCTTGTATTTAAAAAATATGGACTAAATTTTAAAAAATGCGAGAGAATGACCAGTTTATATTAATATACTAGGGGTTTATTATTGATCTACAACGATATATCATTAATAAATATAATACATTAATTATAATACAAAACATAATAGATTTTGGACTGATAATTTGGTTTAATCCTATAATACAGGTTATATTTGCAAAATCCTGTAAAAATAATTTTAGAATGGAGGAAATGATAATTTAAGAAGTATCTTTCTCTAATTGTATTAATAAAAAAGTTTATCTTGAAAAATTTCTATACTATACAAAAGAAAGCAAGTAAATTTTATTTTATTTAATTTTTATAGGTCATTTCAAACCATCTATATCCCATACCAATAAATGAAATAGAAGTATAATCAAGAAAATAATTATAAAAAACTATTTAATATTCTATATTTGGATCAAACAGTTTTTCTAAAAAATGCTTTATATATATATATATATATGATCCAAAGCAAGGAAAATACAGTAACTTCGTGTAATTTATATGAAATATTGCTTCTTGATATATTTTGTTAGAAATGGAAGGCTTGAATTGAAGGGTGAGTATGGAATGAAGAAAAGAGACGCGGCACACAACTCAGAGTCACGTGAACGAGGAGGAGTTATGTGGTGTGGTTGACTGGTTGGTCGTATCATTAGGAATGTGATTCATTATCAAAATAAATAAGAACATTTATTACTTGGGAGTCATTCTCTTTAGGCCAATAATTCACATCAACTCCAAATCCGCTTGAAAAAAAGTTAAAATTGAATTTAATTATATTAATTTTTTTAAGAGTATGATATTTTAATATCAATTAGAATAAATTTGATTCAAGTTAAGTCTGATCTAAATGCATCCACCTACTAAAATTTATTATTCTATTTGTACGTAGAGTTGATAACTTTAATCAAATCCAAACCTCACTGAAAAAAGTTAGGATCGAATTTGATTATATGAATTTTTTAAAAGAGAATATGATATTTTAAATACGATCCGAATAACTCTATCCCACTTAAATTATTATCTCTAATTCTTTCAAAAAGAACCACGAACTGTGATTCGTCATAAGAATGTAAGGTGAGAATGAATGGTTGGTGAAAGATAAAAAAATTAAAGATGCATAGTAAGCCACAGTTTTATTTTTTTTTACTGTTGCCTCTCTCTACTATACCTTCGTTGTAAATTTGTAGAATTTTTATGAAACTTTAACAGCATATATTAATATGTACTCTTAAAAACTATCAAATTTCAATCGTGAAATCTAATATGATGGTCTAAATTTGCAGTGTTATCTCTTATGAGGAACCCCTCCCCTCCTAAGTCCTGAATGAAAGACAAGAAGAACGGCCCAACCAATGCACAGCGATGCCAATGCATGTGAAACAGAAATAACACTATGCGTCAGCGCCCATACGATTTCCGGATTTCTATTTTAGTAAAATCCATCAAGCTTAAATTCATCAACAATCATTGGTCTTAGTGGACAGTGAAATAACCAGTGAACCATGAAGTCTTGAACCTGACTTCATTTAAATGCTGAAAATGACTTTATCTTCTCATTAATTCTAGGAGTGTTCACGGGACGAGATGAAATCGAGACACCTTCATCTTGTGTCCCGTCCCGTCCTGTACCGAAAGTCGTCTCATCCCGTTAAGAGTTGGGACAGGACTGGGACAAGATCGGGACATCCCGCTGTCTTGATAAATGGAATAATGTCGAAAAAAGATTTAGATAATAACGTTCATTAAAATTTTAAATCATATAATTTATTAAGTTTAAAATCAAAACAACACAAACACATAAATAACAATAATTTAAAATTAATTATTGAATTATATTAATCACAACTACATATTACAATAACAAATACAAATGATCTTTATGCTATAAGATTAGCAACAACAGGCAAGTCAAACACAACATCAAATCATTGTTCTTCTACTTTAGTGAAGATATACTAAGTTAATTACTCTTCTAAAAATAAACAAGAAATATGTTATAAATAAAAGTTATTAAATAGATAGATATAAAAATAAATTATATTAATATAATTAATATATTATAAAGAAAGATATCATCATGTTTACTCCATGCCATTAAAATTATTAATATAAAAAAACTGTAGTTTTAAATAAGAATTGCAAGTATTAAAAGTATAATTGATATACTTAATATAAGTATAAATTATATTAATATAATTAATATATTTAAAATAAAAAATAATATATATAATATTTGGGATGGGACGGGACGTCCCGATGGTGTTCTCGTGTCCCGTCCCATCCCGAACCTCTTTCCTATCCCGTCCCGTAAAATTCCGTCTCGATTATTTTCGAGTCAAGACAAGACCCATTCTGATATGATCAAGATGATACCGAGCCAACCGGGACGGGTTTAGACTGAACACCCCTAATTGATTCCACAAATTTGAGTTTCCATTCTTTTTTGGGCAATTTATATCCTTCTAATGTGAAAGTTGACTACGCACTCCTCTGAGTGGCTGATTCTTGAATGTAATTCCAAACGGGCACGACAGATTCGTATCTAATCAAATGATCATATAAACATACACTCTGTGTGAATGACTATGAATATAAATTAACTTTTTTTATAGTAGAAATCTAATGGTGGCGACAAAGAAGAATGATAAATTAAAGTGGAATCCATAATTCAGGTGACTTAGACCTAATTTGAATTGTGATTATTTAAATTGAATTTAGAATACCCAAACATTTAAAAAAATTTATATAACCAAACTCAATCCTAACACTTTATGCTTTTGAACTTATTCGAATTCGACCAAATACTTAAATTACTAAATATTATTTTAGTTTTATTTTTTAGCTAATTTCAATTTTTCTTCTAAAAAATTTTATGTTTTCAATTTTATCTTTTTTAAATTATTTTATTACTAATAAAAAAAGAACTTGAATATTTGGGCCAAATTTATTTGAATTTAAGGTTTACCCAGATTTCTTCGGGTCACTCAGATAAACTCAAAGTAAAAAGATCTTATAAATTTTCAAGTCCAACTCTGAAATATTTTGGACTTAATT